ATTTTTTTTAAGGTGAAAGAGTGTGGCAATTGATGTATGGAAAGAGGCTAGTTTATTTTTCCCTTTAGGTGAGAAGAGGTGACAAATAACAAGATAAAAGCCTAAAGTTTATTTGGTTTTTGGAGTGTTAGGTCTGCTCAGTAAAAGACTTGCATAGTGGCCTTTTACTATTTATGCATTTTTATGTACATAAAATAGAAATATCTTTTGATTTTTTATGTTCAAGCTAATTTTGGCAATTATAAGCTGGTTAAGAGAAAGGAAATATTTTCTCGCACTTGAATAACAAATGATAGTACATAGTTTATTTATCTTTTTAAGATTTAAGAAGCTAGATTTACATTATTGTTTGCAAAAGATTTTGTTATTGGTAAACAAAAAAAATATTATGTTATAGTGAATATTGTTATATTATTGAATATTTTGATTTATTTTTAAAAATGAATATACAGAAAAAGGTGAAGTGGTCCACTAAATGTATTAAATTATATAAAAATATTATAATTTTATTTTAAAATATTATTGACGAAACTTATATTACTAGTTAAAAGTAGTTTTTTAAAATTAAAATTATTTAAATCTTATAAGATAATAACTATCTTTAAAAATAAATTGAATGTATTGAGTGTGAAATATTAAAATAATTTGTTGAAAGATTTTGATGAATAATTTTGCAGTCAATAAAAAAACAAAATCAAAATTGATGGATTATATTAAACTAAACTTTGAATATAAACTTGACCTTTTGATTTCTACACTCTGTCCTCTATTTAGTTTTTTAACCAAGTTGTTTTCTCTTAATTCATTTCGTTTTGAAACTTCCATATATATTGCTTCCGAAATTCCTTGTACAAACATTTGACTTCACACCTGTCTCGAGTTACAAATTAAAAAGGTTCGGAGTCTCCTAACAAAAAGATTCTACATATGCATGCATTAAAATTGAACAGAAATCCAAGTCTTACTCTAGTCCCTTCTTATAGAAGCTATAAAAACAAAGGCTTCTAATTTACGTAAATTGGACCGATTATAATACTTGGTTGTAGAATAACTAGAGGGTACGTGTATCACAAGGACAAAGAGGAAGTATCCCAAAGCAGATTTGACTTCCATGCATCGCCAATATTGAACGGCATAGCGAATGGAAACCCAATGGATCTTCCTGTTTCCAATTGTTGGTCATCAACACGAGGCACATTCACATTATTAGGAATCTTTACCAACACATTGTTGTCGTGGTTGCCTATGGTCCCTTGCATGTCACGTAGTATTGGTACGTGGTAGCCATTACTATGATGCTCTTGTAACCCACCAAAGTTTGTGGTTGTTCCCTCAGAGGTCTTACTAAACTCTCCATGCACAGAAGATGATAGCAAGGAAGAAAAATATTCCATTGAAGATTTAGCACTGGTTGTTGATGTTTCAAGAGGAGAGGAGAATATTGAGCCAGTGCTAAGGTCTCCATTTGAAAAGGGTAACCGGTCTAAGGGTTTGTAAAGCAACGGATTAATAATTGGTTTGTTATATGAGGCAACAACATCTAAAGGACAAGGAGTGCTACTACTAGTAGTTAAGTGCTGTGTGTCATTGTGATTAAAAGTACAAAACTGGCTGGCTAAGCTAGTTTTCTTTGCCAATGGCATGTTTGATGGAAAAAATTGGTTGCTGTTTCTATCAGTGGTTAGCATATGGTCAGAAGTGGTAGTTTCAGGCAAGGGAGAGACCCAAGAGTGAGAGAGAGCTCTTTGAGCTGTAGCATTAGTTTTCTTGAAGATCCTGCATATTGCCCAGGATTCCTACACAAGTTCAAAAGCAACCTAATTGTTAGTAAGTTATGAAAAATATAAAAGTGGAAGACAAGATTTATAAGTCGTTTTTATAATATTAAGTTCAACTTAAACTTGTATTTTAAGACTTATAGTACATAAACTTGTCCAAAAAAAACATGTAACAAATTTCTTAGATTTTTCTTACCATAGCAACTCTCATTTTTGTTAAACCATCCTCACATCCCTCGTAAAATGTATCAAGTAACACAGATTGGAAAATGAGAGTACAAAGATGTTCTTTTTTTTCAATATCTATATCTACAAGGGCAATATAAGTGAGATAAATTAAGTAATCACCATACTTATATCTATAAATACTTTTAAAATGATACAATCCGGATGAGAAAATATAACACTTTTATACATCAATTAGAATGGTAGTTACTAGTTAGTGAGGAAAACATATATTGTTCTGAGAAGTTCTACTCACGTTAGCAGGTATGTTCTTGTCCATGTACTTCTTGGGGGAGGAGGATGAGGGAGTTAGAGAAGGCAGTCTAAACTCATGCATCATCCAATCAGTTTTGATCCCTTTGGCAGCTCTACCTTTGTAGAAGACAAGGGATTTCTTGAGGCCAATACACTTCGAACCCTCTGAGGAATAGATAGGGCGATCAGTCCCAGTAGCTTTCCAGAATCCAGCTCCGGTTACCCTATTAGGCCTTGCACTGTTCCTGTACTTTCTGTCTCTGGGGCAGTAGAAATACCACTCTTTCTCCCCGGTGGAAGCCAACTCTACACATCATGAAAACAAATCTTGTTAGATATAAAAATAATAAATAAATAAATACTATAGTTGTTCTTTTCTTTATGTTACTAATATTTTCAGCTCATTGCATCAGAAACTGATTTCGTTCATAGTATTGGGACTGTTGTTGATTCAAAAGGATGTTGTTGGTTCAAAGGGGTTTTTTGCAGGCAAAGTGTATTATAGTTTATAATACAATTATTCATGAACCAAACAAGTGTGTGTCGCTTACTTGGAAGATCCCAAGGATCATATTTGTAGATATCAAGCTGCTTGATGAGCTCAATAGAGAGAGGCCGCTGCTGAATCTTTCTCTTTAGGTAAAATCCAACAAGCTCCTCGTCTGTTGGATGAAACCTAAAACCTGGTAGCATAACCTCATCTAGTTTCTCACCATCATTTCTCTCTTCCATGTCTAAAACTATTTTCTTCCAGAAGCAAAGCCTAATGTTGTGTAACTTGTGTTCAATGAAAGAAAGAGAAAAGGAGAGAGACCTTTGTTGTGTCTCTTCAAGATTTAACAAAAACTAGTGGGGAGAGATAGAGAGAGAGAGAGAGGAATCTGGTTTTCAAAGAAATATGTTGCTTAAAGTATCTAAACCTAAAAGAAGTGTGTCATACTGTTTGAGAAGAGTTGAAAAAACAAACGAAGAGGAAGGTGTGAGTGAAATTCACTCAATGTGAAGAAGCCATTATATGCTTCCTGAGAAGGGATCTGGCTCCGAAGGTTCAGCCGTCTTTTGTGGCGACGTTTATAGGAGTGTGTGTTTTGAAAGGTTTGGTTTGGTTCATATATACAAAAGAGGAAGAAGCAAAGGGCAAGGCTCTTAAAAAGAGACCAACTATGCCAAGAAACAAATCAAAGTCATTAATTGAAGAAAATGGAGATTTTGTGTCTTTTTTTATCATAGCAAAGTACTACTATTTCTTTCACCCTGAAGAACCATTTTTTTTTGTGTGATTTGTAACATTTGTTTATGACCCAAAAGATGGAATCTCAACAAACCACCAAACTAGCAGCATCTGGGGATTTCGATCAAATACTTAAAGCCCTTTAAACATATTAATCTCGTGAAAATTTTGGCTTATCTGCTACAAGCCAAGACAAAGCAAAGTTCCAAGAAAGTGATATATTTTATGCGTTGTGTTTGAAACTTTTGAAATATCATTTGGAAACGTGAGCCAGAACCAGATTCCAAAACACAGATCAAATATAAAATTGAACGGTAAATTCCAATTAGACCCACTTAGGGTTATATTATTGGTTTCAAGGCTCCTCAGAGTCCGAAAATCCCGTTTCTATTCCATTCCCCAGAGCTTCTATTCGACTGTTTTGTCAGGATGAAAAGATTTAATAATAATTAAGAATTATTTCTTAATTAATGTCAAATTTTAGATAACAACAAACGGACGTGTGATCAAAATCTAATGGGGTTGATGGGACCGCTTTTGCCTATGAATATATTATCAATCCTAACAATTTCTTTTTGCCACCGATGTATCAATGTCAGAACTAATAGAACTATAACTTAGAACTGCAACATAGTGCTTCAGGTTTACCTTCTTTCTCTGACTTTTCTTCTCCATCAAAAACTACTTAATTATTTCTACCTTTTTCTGCCCATATATTATTGTTGTGTCTGTATACTTTCACTAAAAAAAAACAAAAAGTTTTATTTATAAACTATTAAGGATTTGTTGCGCACCGAGGGAGGTTTTTACTTTTGGACATCACCAAAAAGACTTCTCAACCAATGGAGACAACTGTGTGTATATAAATCCATGTACATTCTCTTATTTGAACGATGTAGGACTTTACTTGCATCCCAACATAATTTTTATTTTATTTTATTTTAATGAAAATACATTGTTTTAAAATTGACAACCAAAAATTAATCTATACTTATAACATGTGCCTTAACTAAATATTATTTTAATACAAGAATCAAACCTAATTATTCATGTTTGATTATAATTAATGTATACAGTTTGTGATTATGTTAGTTTATTTTTAATAAAAAAAAATCCTATTTTCTTAACTTTTAAAAAAATATTTGACAAGATGAGTATTTTCTGAATTAATATGTTGATATTATACGAAATGAGGTAAGATAGGATTTTTTTTAGCAACGAGTGTAGAATAAAATAGGCTATACATTTTTTAAAATTTATTTTAGAGTTATCACTACAAAAGCAAATGTTAGGAAGTGACATACATTTTTAATCACATTTAAGTAAAAAAAGAATGTCTCATTTTGATTGTTACTATAAGATATAAATAAAACATTAAATATTTTTACAATTATATCCTTAAACAGTTATTATGGAATGAAAAATAATAATAATGATGACTAGAAAAAATATTATATACCGATAATATATATATATAAAGAAAAAAAAAAGTTACTCCATCTTTCAATCAAAATTATCATATATAACAAGTTTGTTAATTATTATAATAATCACCTTAAAAGTTATACTAAAAATTGTCGGTTAGTTAGTTAACAGTGAAAAATCTTTTACAATAATAATATATGTATAAAACTAATTTAATTAATATGAAACATGAAATAAATTTTAGGAAATTTTATATAATAATTATTACATAATATAAAATTTTAATATTAATTTTTATGCCAAAACTTTAAACATTAGACAAAGTAAAAAAGAAGGGGTAAGAAATTGAGAGAACAATTATGAAATATTATAATTTTAAAAATTAGACCAACTAACAAGTTTAGATAAATTATAAATTTAAATATATTTTTAGTCCTTCAAATTTAAAATTGATTTTTTTAGTCATATAATTTCAAAAAAAATATTATTTTAATTCCTAATTATACTCAAATTTTGATATAGAATCTGTTTAATATTATTGTATAAAATTTATTTATCTATTGATATCTCTCTTAAATATGTTATTTATAACCTAGGGAATTAAAACAAGATTTTTTAAAATCACATAATAAAAATAATATTTTTAAATTTAAGAGATCAAAAATAAATTTATCCTGAATTTAAGAGAAAAAAAATATTTAAACTTAAATTAATAAATTATAAAACAAGTTGACTAGCATTGCTAACCCCTAAAAATGTATGTAACCAAAATCGAGCAAGCAATAGTAAAATGATAGTTTTACATCCGTTAAAAAAGCATTTTACATCAATTAAATTTTTTATATGATAAACATCGATTAATTTTGAAATCCATGTAGATAACCATGTAAAATATATGTAATTACATACATAAAACTTTAAAAAAATAATAACAATAATTTCACAGCGGCATCTCTACCCCACCTCCTCAGTCGACCCAAGCACCTCTAGTCAACTATGTGACCTCTCCCCCTCGCCCCCACTTCACACCTACCAGCCCCCTCCCCCCTTCTCTCCAACATCGTTTTCACTTTTCACTTCTCTTTCCCCCTTCCATCCCCACATTTCAAAATGCATATTGCATTATATGATTTTAAATTTTAAAACACATATTACATTAGTAATTTAAAAGCGATGTAAAAACATTGTTTTACATCAGCTCTAATTTGAACCAATACAAAAAGTGTTTTTATATCAGTTATTTTATAAATGATATAAAATAGTTGCTTCAAATTAAAACAAAATGTCACTAAAATCACTTCCTATATTAGTTGTGTAACAATTGATGTATAAAGAGTGATGTAAAATGATATTTTTGCAATAATGAAGAATCAATTTTGTTGATGTGTATCAACAATTGCATTAAATATTTTTGTTGTATACTTTTTAAGGTTAAATTACATTTTTAGTCCTTCTATTTTAAAAAATATGCAATTTTTATTTTAAAATAAAAATATTTAGTTTTCCTATTTTTAAGAAATACAAAATTTTAATTTTCTTGTCAAATTAATATTTGTTAATCATTAAGTTTTAATATTTATTTATACTTAAGTGATGTGATATTTAATGATATAATATTCGAACATAAATAAAACTATAAAAAAAACACATGCAAGATTTATTAATAAAATAAATATCAATCACTCATTAAAATATATAAACAAAGATCTTGTGTATTTTATTTTTTTAATTTTTATTTGTACATGTTAGGTGGTGATAAGTCACCAAACAACAGTAAAATATGATCAATAAACATCAAATCACTAGTCAAAAAACAGGCTTTAACGTCACCTAATTTACGTCAGAAAACGCAATACTCGACGTTATAAAAATACGGTGGCAGTATCGTAAATATGGAGAGGCTAATTTACGTTGGACAGATGGGGGTCCGACGTAAATTAGCCAATCTACATCGGACAGATCTTTTAGCCGACGTAGATTGGCTAATTTACGTCAGACCCCCATATGTCCGACGTAAATTAACCTCTATTACTACCCAACCTTTCAATTTTCTCATTCTCGCGCGCCCCTTCTACTCTAAGTTACGAAAGCATACTCTAAGTTATTCTACTCTAAGTCTCGAAGCCCCTTGTTTGCACACATTACTCTAAGTCTAAGTCCTGTAAGAGTCTGCACTTAGGTAACTTTCGTCTACCCATTATTTTGTTTATTTTCTGTTTTATGTTTATCTGGGACGGACCGTTCTGCAAGCGGGACGGACCGTTCTGCAAGCGGAACGGGCCGTAATGCAAGCAGAACGGGCGTTCTGCTTAATTTTTGTTTGTTAAATGTTAATCTGGAACGGGCCGTTCCGGAACCAGCACGGGCCGTTCCAGATAAACAATTAACACAAAAAAATTGTAGCTGGAACGGGCCGTTCTGATTTTAGAACGGGCCATTCCAGACACATAAATCTGTGTTAATTGTGTATTTGGAACGGCCTGTTCTGGTTTCAGTACGGGCCGTTCCAGGTGCATTAAAGAAGGACTTTTTTAGGCATTAACCTTTAGTTTACCATGTTATTATCTTTTTTACTTTATTTGTCTATTCAGTTAATTAATAACTCACATATTCAACACAAAAGACTCAAAATTGCACTAAAAACCACATACAACCCAAACCATAAAAAGGTCAACATGCATGCATCAAAACTCAAGAAATCACCAATACTTCAGCCTTTCATCAAGAACACTCAAAACTCCAATTCTCAACATACAACCTCTTTGGATTCAATCTCTATAGCTATAGATTCCAGAAACTCCATTAACCATAGACTCTTAATACCTTTGACGTATCAAATTCTCAACCAAATCCAAGGTCCCAATAGTTTCTAGTTGATTAGCAAAATACTTTGTCCACTACTACTTGCACATGTGCTCGCAACACGAACGATACCACCCAACCACTACTTCTTAGTAAGCAAGAAGTATCAAAACAAATAAGCAATCATGAGAATGAAGAAAGTAATCATAAATAGCATCAACTAAGCTATATTATGTCTACTAGCCATATTTTGAGAAGAGAAACACCCAATTAAGAACAACAGCAACAACACAAAGAAAACATCATCACAAATCACCAAAGTACATAAGCAAAACATTGTCATAGTACTTAACAGAATCATGATAAACATATAACACACATGTTTGATTTGAATCAACCTGGCTCTGATACCATTACATGTGATACCCTCTACCCGAAATACATAATTACACAATAAATAGAAATTAAAATCTTTTAGAAATAAAACCAGAATCTCAATTATCGTAA